TAGTTTCTGAAGCGCTGCAAGTTTGGTTTCTGAATCGCGGCTTTGGTTTCTGAATCGCGCAATTGGTTTCTGAATCGCGGATTGTTTGTTTCTGAATCGGACTTTCTTCTGCTCCTTGGTGATATGCTCATCCTTGAGGATTTGTAGATTTGTAGGACGTTGTTAATCTGGGTCTGCGTGGCGGCCGGGAAAGTTTTGATTCATTTGAGAGCCGGGTGGGCTCCAGGCGGTGGGTTGCAATCGTGTAGTGTTTGTGCGTTGGGGTTGAGAATCGTAGAGGTGTCAAGTGGATGCGGTGCTGGAGCCGGTGCTGTGACGGGGAGGGAAGGGGCTGAGTGGGAGAGGACTGAAATGGAATGCTTGGTCGGTGTGAGAGCAGTGCCGTGAGTGCGGAGCTTATCGCCTGCTTTCTGCAGTTCATCTTGTTGCTTTTGCCGGCGATCTGCTGCAAGCGGCGGAGGGCTGTACCCTCGCCTGGGGGGGCTGAGGGTTGTTATGTATTCTGCAATCTTGCCAATGAAAGGTGCCATGAACGATTTGCCATCAGTGGTCTTGTTAGGGACCGGTTGGTAATTCTGTTGGTGGGTCTACTCTGCGTGCGCGGAGCTCAGATAGGAGTTGTGAAGTAAACACTCCTTCGGCAATTGACTGGGTCGCGACAATGCCGGCATATCGTCCTTGAGAGAGTGTCCGCATGCTCTGATCGACAACACCAAACTTGCTGGGGGAATATGCTGAGCGTCTGCTGGTGCGCTAGATTATGTTTGCCGGACCATGCGGTTGGCTGTATTGTGCGAAATAATGTTTGTCCGTTGATGAGGTTTGTCGGTCCAGGTGTTGGGAAATGTAGAGATGTTGGGTGGCACTGTATTTAATGCTGATGTGGGGGGCGGGTGGTGGTAGTGGTTCCAGTGGGAAGGCGGGGGCCGGAGTGCCGGTCATGGGTGGTGTATCTGTCGCTGGTGCCGGTGGATTGGGGTAAGGTTGCTGAGCTTGGTAGTGATGGCGTGCTGCATGCGTCAATGGTCCATAGCCTGCGCTGGGGAGCTGCGGCGGCTGAGGCATAGTATTGTTGCCAGGATGCATGGGCGGCGACTGATGAAGGGATCGACGAAAATCACAAAGGTGCAAAAACAATGTTCGAGCAGCTAAGTGAGTGTCACCAGGGAAGCAGTGTTCAGTCACATGGTAGATCAAAAGGTCAGAAACCAAAACGGAGTGCATGAAAAGCGAACCAAAGCAGTATTGCACACGAAAGAAAACAATCCATGAGTGGGTGTGACTCGGTAGAACCTAAGAAACGGACAGAAAAAAGTGTGTTATTCAATTGATGTGCGGACCATTTTGGCGCACTCGGGTATTTCAAAGTGTTCTAAAGACTCGTGACTCTGTAACAAAAGAGCTGCGGCACTCACTCATCTAGGAAGCCGAGCCAGTGGCGTCCGACCAGGGTTTTGGGGGGCCCATCGAGGCTTGCCGGTGCGCAGTCTTAAGAGTGGATTGGGGCTGATTGCTGGTATGGTATGTGGTGGTATGTTGCTGTTGAATGGTGGTGGTGCTGTAGGAGGGTGGTGGACTCCAAAAGTAATTGGTTATTCAAATATTCATCACATTGGGGGGAGGGGTCAAAAATAGAATTCATATATCAATATTTGATCCCGAGCTAACCTCTTTGCTTCGCCAAGCACACTTAAGCTAGCCCTTACCAGGAGACCGTTCGTCAGCGCATACCTAATTACATACCTATTAATGTCACCCAAACCGAAGGGTGTAAAAAAAAATAGAAACAGCTCAGCAAAGGGAACCAAAAAACAAACAATTTCCTCTGGGGTCGCAAAAACGCTGTTGGCATAAACCAGAAGCAGCGTGTAGAGACTTAGCCGCACATGCATGGGACCACCGATCAAACAACCCGGCGTGAACTACCAGCCGGAAGCGTCAAAACCACCAGGTGTGGCCACTCTGTTTGGGCAAGGGCGGCATCATGACGCATTATGGGCCGGCCACGCACAACTTGTGCACCTGACCCCCCAAGATGCCACGTCTTTCATAGTCTAAGATCGGGCCTGGCCTGGACTCCTAGTAAAAATCTCGGGAAATTGGATGTGATGTGCTACAGTTATGAAGGAATTCGTGTCTGCACCCTCCACAGCTGCAAACAAGAAACGTTGTATTACCCCACGGGATCAGGCTTAAATCTTGATGGGAGTCCCTCCTACGTCCTCACCCAGGTTCAACCAAAAACCTTAATCAAAATTGAAATAGACTCTTCGACCACAAGGCCCATTCGCATCGTAGTGTCAGCGGTAAAAAGAACATTGTAAAACGCAATGCTTTGAGGACGTGGCTTTAAAATGCCAAGCCGAAATGCTGCAAAGGTTATCGAAACGTACATCGTGCATGCGCGCTTCGCGCCGGGTCGTTGCGGCCAGCGTTACCTTTTGTTAATAATGGCGTAAGTCCACCAACAAGAAAAGATCTTGGATTCCAACGGGCATGTTTTTGCTCACACGCAACCAATGTTTTTTACTCACGATCTCATTTCGAACGCCGCGGTAGGTGGCAGTGGCCGCGAGGCGCGAAACTGTAAAGCATCCGTCGTCCACGTTGCCTGTCTTCGCGCGACCCTCTGCAAGGATCGTGCGTGAACGCGCGAAACTGTGAACCGTACATGGCGCCTGTGCCTGTGCAGGGACAGTGCCCATTTCCTCTACATGAATGAATCTTCGACATTAAAATAACATATAAAATTAAATCAACCACAGCCTATCTGTCCTACTGCGCTTTTGGGCCACTGTGTCGTCTAGGTTGTCCTTGTCGTTCGAGTTTGACGAATTTGGGACCTTAGACCTTAGATGACTTCAGACGAATTTGCAGTCATTGTTTATATTTACCACCTGAGATTTAAGATGACCCCTACGTTAGATAGGGCCCTGGGAGGGGCCCTGAATTAACAAAATAGACTAATTGAAGCGGCACATACCTGATTTTTGGAAATTGATTGACGGGCGTCTTTCACCCTCAACTAATTGTCTATTTGAATGTTAGGCCCCCTGACTCATGGACACCTCACAAACCCATCAATCAATTTCCACTCCCCAGGCGGCAAAACCCCCCATCCACAGCCACGCCAACGCAATACCTGAGCAGCGCTCAAAAACCAGGCAGGAAATTGGCCACCGCATTCACACCAAGCAGGAAGGCAGCCACCACACTCAAAACCAGGCAACAAAAAAATTAATTCAGGGGGTGTTGACCTCTGGGGAGTCGATTAATTTGGCAAGCATAGGCAGGCAGGAAAGCAGCAACCACACTGAAAGCCAGCAGGAAGCAGCCACCAACGTGCCAATTGTTTTTTATCCGACTTTAGTCTTTACCAAAATTGTCGACAAATTGTCGGAGAAAAACATAATTGAGAAAATATAATTCGTGGGTAAGCATCCCTCAGATTACTTTTTCTAGTGGAGGGGTCATCATTTAAGACGTGGTTTCTTGGCGAACTCCTCATCTTGTTTCTGTGAGGACCAAATGATGTCTGCGGGGCAAGATGAAAGCGCCGTGAAAACATGTGTGCTTCCAAACAGCAACAGACTGCCATGCTTCACGGCACGGGACCCTCTTGCACGGCGGCTCCGCGTGAGGGAAGGTCAGAGTCTAAGTGGAAGGCCCTTGGTCGCTTGAGCGGCCGAAGTGAGGAGGGTGACCAAAAGCAGTGAGTCACGGTGGCAATGTCCTCCAAGAAACGCACATCCCGCACTTGGGTGCAATGTTCCTTGGACTGCTAAGGGTAGTCGATTGAATGTTCCTGTCACTGTCACACGTGCAAATCCATGCAAATATATATGCAAATCGAAATGTCGGCATTTTGGCGCAATGTCTTTGATAGCATGCAAAAGCGTCACAGAGAGAGAGAGAGAGAGAGAGGCTCAGCAAGTCGTCAGTCAGGGTTCTCTTCGATCCTTTTGCACGATGGAATGGCAGGAACCATGGACCAACCACAGTGGGACACCGCTTGTGATTGGCCTTGCCGTGCACCAAGAGATGAAATACATTGAAATACACTATAGACTATAGACATCTACAGGAACCTGTATAGACTCAAGATGACTCAAGACCTCTGTCACTAGGAATGACATTGAAATACATGTACCCGAAAGGTCCGTTGTGGGTGATCCAGCATGCTTCGCCGAAGTCGATTTCAGACGTGGAACTAACTAGGTCCCTAGGTCGGCCTTTTTTCAAGTGCGTGACCGTTGGAAGTTGGATGAACTTGTGGTGTTAAAGGGTCTGCGGATGTTCCGGATGGGGTTGGGGAAGTGGCCAGGACGGAGCCGTGATGCACAAAAAGGCAGCCTTTTGCAGCTCGCACAAGCAAGAAGGCGCCGGCTTTGACATGGGTGATGGTGCGAGCTATATTTAGAGGTGTTTCTCGCACTGCGCTTCCGCCCAAGTGACTCACGGCCACACGGCGTGTCTTGGAGAGTTCAGGAATCAATCCAAGAGGTTGTAGGAGGATGAAAAGGGATGCTTCCAAACACAGCGGAGCACCAAACAGGCAGGGGCCGGCAGGGGGTTCTATGTCGCGCGAAAGCCAATCCGCATGTGGTGCAGGGGTACATGGTTCCACCGAAACGATTGGAATCTTTGAGATATCACGTCAAGTCTACACTTTTTCGCAGCTCCGGCCGACATTCCGCGCCCACGACTATGTACATTGGTAGGCCAACTCTCGTAGTGCCGGGTTCATGGGGTCCTAGGAAGCTTCCCCAAGAGTCGGTCGGTCTGCTCTGGCTGAGTGGTTTTAAATCTGATTTGTCCGGGAATCCTCCAAGGAACCCGCGAAGCCAGGCACTCTGCGGGTGAAAGTTGTTCTTGTGACACTTGATTAAATCTGCCGGCGAAGCAGGAATTTGGAGCGGCTGCAGTGATTTGGCCCCCAAATGCCCCCAAAATGCGCTTGATCTGAGGGGGTCGTCTTGAAGGTACGTCGGCAGCTCAAATGCATGAGACAAGCAACCGCTCACCTAGGCTCACTTCGACAGTCTAGACATGACCGGAAGCACAAAGATCTGCAAGCCTTTCGGCAAGCATCGATTCCTCAAAAAATACGACGGTGCGATCATTTGACCGTGTCCCTGTTGGACTTGCTGCCTGCGGCCAGGGTGAGAGGGCAGCACTCTTGTGGGGGTTGGGATGCAATATGTTCTGCAACTGCAAAAGCATCGGAAATAGTTTTACCCTATTAAGCAAATAGCAACATGCATTGGACACATGGCCATTTCGAGGACAATAACGACGGGGTCTCAACAAAACATCAACAAGTGGAAATGTTCCAACATGCCAAAGTCTACCAAGAGCAAAAGACCGGCCGGCTCTCCTATGGCTGGCACCGCCCTCAACGGCTCCATGAAGCCTCTGAGCAAGCCCATACATGATTATATCCATGACATGATTATATCATTCTGGTAGTATATATATATATATGTATTTATTTACTTATTTATTGGTGATATATAAATGAAACATATATATATACCTATGTATATATATATATACATATATATATATATATGGTGCCCCTACTGGTGCCCCTCCCTCAGACGTGCCGTGTATGCAAAGTCATGTAATGTAGTGTAATTGTAATGTTTGTTATTCTGGTATGGTATGGATGCATGCATGTATGTAGTTGGTCTTCGTGCACAACACCTGCAAAAGCATGCACAGCAATCCTTATGGGGGCATCGTGGGCCCCGAGTTCTCCCCGTGTTTCCGGCAATAAACCTCTATACATCTGAAGCATCTTCAGTTGCATCTAGCCAACACTTCATCTGCAATAGCAGCTGATCTAAACATAAGAAAACATATCAGACCGATGTCTGAGGGAATTCAAATCTTTTCTGGGGAAGATCAATGCGATTGATAAACAAACTGTGAAAAGAAAATTTAAAGTGTAAAGTGTGTCTACTTGGACGTGGTGCCAATAGAAACAGAGAAAGGGGTTCTTTTCTCAAAGGAACTTTACATGAGAAAGGAAGGACAATTGCGATGAGTAGTGAGAGGCGTTGTTTGGATTCCTTATCACATGGCATCTGGAAGCACTTGAAGCTTCTCTTTCACAGTCCCTTTTTCACAGCAAACTCAATGTGAAAATCAGATGGAAGAGTCTAGATTCTAGAAGAGAAAATTTGTATGATCACAATAAATACGGGACATTAAGACTGTTGAAAATGTGAGAGGTGTAAGTGAGAAAGTCACGGATTAGATTATCAAAATATGCTTACTGCATTCCACGTCAGAGTAGACATGGTATATTACTATGTATATAATCCATATATGGGGTTACCGTATTGTATATTACATAAATTACATATATAACTTGGTGCATTTGTTGCATGTCTTTTTTCCCCTATCAGGACTGGTCTTAAGCCTCAGACAGCTGGAGGCCATGACTGCATCTTTGGCGGGCCCAAGACCTCACAAGACAACACGACACCCCCTACACAACCGAGACTTTGGATGGCTTGGCTTGGTTTTAAATCTTGTGATGATGCATTTGAAGGAGGTTAAACTGTTAAACAAAAAGGATGGAGATCCAACAAACTTGCAGATTCTTTTCGTACTTCTGTTCATCCCTTCCATGTGGGCTTCTCATTCTGACCTTCCACCCACTGGGCTGCATGACCCGTGGAACGACCGGCTCAGGTGAACGACCGGCCTTGGCCATCCAGATCGGAATCGTGATCAAACGTCACAGCTCATCACTCTGAGATGTGGGCACAGCTCATGCCGCTCCGCCTCAGCGAAGTTTGATTGGTGTTTTTGGGACATCTTTTCACTGGCATCTTTCCAGAAACTACCGACCCCCGTGTGCTTGTGCCTCTCTTTTTACGGTCACATTACAGTATTCAGTCCACCAGGTTCTCTTTCTCGGCGGGTCTTTCTCTCAAACCTACAAAGAATGCAGTGTCTTCCTCACAAACAGCAGCATCGAAAAGAGTATATATAGAAGGATTACTGATTACTGTATATATAACTATATATTATATGGCTTTGCTTGGTTGGTCAGTTCATGACTTCTTTGTGCAATGACTGACTGTCAGGAAAGGGTCTTCACATCGCCTTTCACCATCACCATCGCGTTTCGCATCCCAAAGCCTTTCCTGGCGCCCAGTTGCTGGTGGCTTGAAGCGTTCGCATAAGGCACCTGGTACCTCCGAGGGGACATGGAGCAGATGTTTCATCATCGGCAAGGCAAAGCGCCGTCTTGGGCAGGCCGTTGATTGCTGTTTGTATATTGCTCATTGATGCTCATTGCATCTGTCCATGAGTTCACACACATGCTCGGACACAGTGCTGGTATCCATGATTTTTGTATATCGTTGTCATTACTCTCAGCTAGGTGTCAACCCTGGCTTCGGCCTGCAGAGTGTATCTTCAAGATTTCTTGCAGCAGACTGGATTTGATACAAGTCATGCTTTGCAGTCGAGCTTCATTCCACATGACGGCTTGTACCTAAGATTGAACACTGATCTTTGGTTTCACGATCGAAAGTGCCGCCTAAACACTCTGTTCCCGGCAGTGCCAACGAAAACGGCAATTGCTCAAAGCGCTCTGTTGAAGTCGGCGAGTTTGGGTCGAAATGGGTCGAAGGTAATCCTCTTCGCTTCGCTCTCTTCAGTAACCAAGGGCATCGCTACTAGTAACAAGGGCATTACTAGTAGTAGCAAGAAGCTACTAATGAACTGAAGAGAACAACTAAGCCCCTCGTTTGGAGCTTCGTACTGATGGCTGCCCTGCCCTGAACTCGGCCGAGTGGCGTATTGGCCGGGCGACATGTCTGTGAGACGAAGGCCTTGTGAGACGAAGAAGTGACATGAAGCGAAGAGAAGCTTCGAAGTGGTTTTCTCAGAGCTAAGGAGATCTGAGGAGCTGTAGAAGCTATGCAGCGATCAGTAGCTCAAATCAACAATGAGTTCTATCGGACTTGTGGAGCTTAGCTACACAAAGTCATGGACTTCAGAGCTGCAAAAAAACTCTGGAGGTCCATGGACTTCAAGACAGATATGATCAATATGATTAATGGCCTCCAACCCACTAGCGATGGCCTCCCTACTAGCCAATCTAGCCAATCATATGATCAATATGATACACTCGTCAGAAAAATCGTCTGTTGGGAACGAACTATGTCTCGCGCCATGCAACTCCTGGGAGTCCTGACTTCTGGCATCCGATCCGGCGACATCACCTGACCGATGGTCGTACGTTTTCGGTCACTTCAAGCATGCCTGCGTTTGCCTGGAGGATCTGCCGTTTGCTTTCATCAAAGAAAGGAGAAGAAAGGCACTGTTTCCTTCCATAAATATGAAGCCGCAGAGATCCACATAGGCTAGTGAATTGTCAAAAGGGTGGACAAAAATGGACCAACCACACCACACCGCCATCTTCGCCTCCAACAGTTGCGGAAATGGCCTTGGTTGCGGGCCCGTGCCGGGTTTTACGACACCAAGAATCGGCCTACGACACCAAGAATCGGCCACAGCTCTGAAGGTTTTTGTATGTTTTTGATGTTTTTGTGTTGCTGCTTCTTGTTACTAGTCGTAAGGCCAGGAGCCACGTTGGTAGCGTCCTTGCTCCGTTCGTAGCGATGCCCCTTTGTTACTAGGCGTTGGTCCGTGTTTCTGTGCGTGTCGCGAGTGGATGGGGTCTCTTCCCGGACTTCGCCACCCAGGTGCTCCCGAGGTGTGGCGGGAGGTGTCCGTGCAAAAGGATCGTTCATCGGCAGGCTCGGCAGCTGGACCGGCCTCGGTGCCCCGGGTGGGGGTGGCATGGCGTGGCCGTCGGATGTGGAACATGTCTTGCCAAGCCGAAAAAAACACAGAGTACGCACGGAGTACGGGGAGCCAGCTAGTGTCCCTCATCCTTACTCGGCTACTCTGATGATGTTTCGTTAAGGTGAACATTCACATGCCTTGCAAGCTTGGATGGTGAAATGCTTCGAGGGTAATTCAGTGGTAGCGAGAATTCGTCAAGTACAGTCCACGGACCGCGTCTCACCATGCACTGCACCACCACCAGTTCACATGAGTTCACCATGCGCAACTGACCTGAAACTAACCTGACTCCAGATCAAGCTGTTGCAGATTGACATCGTCCTATTTTTGAACCATCCATTGGAGTTGATTGGTCCCTTTGCCTCACCCAGTGACCAAGTGGCAGGATCGGGGATGCGTTGGGCCGACACGAGGCCCTCAACGCGTTGGGCCACTCCTGCCGTCCACCCAAGAGGTGACGTGTTGAAGAGGTCTATCTACAAGACTCGTCTCAGGTTGAAGCCCACCCAACAAATTCATGTTGATTCGTGGTCGCTGATTTGGATCACTGGTCGCGCATATTCAGGAGTTTTCTCCCAAGTACTCGTGCCGCTAGTTGATCTCATGTAGTCAAAGAAAGCAACATGTCCACAATGACTTATTAGGCTTGTAGGTGGTTGGCTCTTCATAATGTTCCCGGCGTGCTCATGCTCACTGCCAGTGAACGCTTGAAAAACACTATGTTGAGATATGTTGAGTTGAAGTGAAAATGTGTCGCAAAAAAAGATAATCTCTGTCGCGGATTCGGGCGTCATCGCATCAAATGCAAACAACCAGACTTTAACCTCCAAACCCAAACTCCTGGTGCGACACAGGAGACCTCAGTTCACACGAAGCAAGTGACTGCAGCAGCTCAACTAAAATGCTCTTCCATGGGAACCAAACTCTTAGCCCGGCCCATCTTTGATTTCTCATTGATACTACACCCACACCGCGCACCGAACGTGGAAGTGGCGGAGTGGCAGCATGAAGGAACGTCCTCCCCCCCGTCTTCAGCTTCTATGCCATCAGTGCTTGTGCGTCTGCAACCAAAACACCCTCCCATGTAGCCACTCCCATGTAGCCCATGAAGGGAAGCTGGAGTAGGCTGCGAAGGCCGCAAGCTCCGCTTCGGATCGCCTCAGCAACCGACCACAGCAACCCTGCTTATGTCTGACACAACTCAAAGGTGTTGCTCAGCAGCCGTGCAGGGGTTCCCAATGGTTCCCAACAGGTGACGCAAGATGACGCAAGTATATAGCTTCCCTCCTGAAGAGCTTGCTTCTCCACAAAGAGCTTGTTGGGTTTGTTGGGTTGAATCTTTGAACAATTGGATCTGGAGCCATTTGGGTGTGCTCTTCAAACACCTCTGCGGCCCAAGGCGCTCCGTCCACGGGGATCCACGGGGAAGGGCAGGTTAGGCAGGTGAGGCTTTCGGAGGGCCGCCATGCCTTCATAGAGCTTGGACAACATCTCCCTGGCCTTTTTGATGCGCACTTTGGGATCACCTAGGAGCCGAGTCAGACGAGTCTGGAGGAGTCTTCTCAAGCGTGGATCTTGGTGTCTGATTTGTGGAGTCTCAGTGTATTCCACCAACTGCTCAACAAGCAAAGACTACCTAGGCATACTACTATACCTAGTTTTGGAGGTCATGTCGCGGGTCATTCTGTCAAGTCGGTTTGCAAATTTCATGCTGCCATCTTAGAGTCATCCAAAATAAGCCCACCACCCTCTCTGGCAGGCTCCGGCCATGTTCGCTGTGACTGCTGCGGAAGATGACCAACATGCCTGAGCCGGATCCCAACGAGTCTTCCAAACGGTACAGAGCGAGCTGCTAAGTCGTTTTTGCCGTTCTGCCGTCTGCGAAACAGAAAAAAGCAGAGAGCTAGACTTGGGACCTAATCTGTCCGTCCACATCTCAAAAAGAGAGTTGTCTGTAATTGCATGACTCCTCCTGGAATCAACTTTCTCCATTGAACTAAGCCTATCTTGAAGAAACCAATGCATTCAACTACTTGAGATTTTACTACAGTCTGAGTCTGAGTGGCACCTTGTGAGAAACCAGGTACAGTAGAATGGCCCTCTGAACATCCGTATCACCCTCATTGCTGGGCTCCATGGGCTGTCCACGTTGGCTGTTTCACTGGCAGGTTGCTTCACCGTCGGATCAGCTTGAAGATCCTGCGCTGAGTCAGGCACATGGATTTGTTGATGGAGAGAATCGTGAGACACCGTCCAAGTCCATAGATACAAACATCCCATCAGAACATAATCACCTGAAGCAAACTATCCATAACAACATATAACAACTAACAGCATTTGACTGCAACACATAGGCGTTGAGATCGTGACATTGTCAGTGTGAGATGAAGTGGAGATGCCGATGGCTCCAGCTCGCAAGTCTTCATTTCCGAGAGACCCTGAGGCCCGTGGCATGGTCCTCTCTACTGAGGCCCTCATTGGCCATCGTGAAAAGGTCCGCCACAGGGCCCGTGAGGAACCAATCCATGAGGTCACTGTCGGACCTTGGTCGAGCGTTGTTTGCTAGGTTTGGTGGGTCGCCCAGTGCGCGTTTTTTCATCTGTGATTAAGTGATATGTTGGAAACCAAAACTAAGTTGGGGGCGCTTTACTCAGTTAAAACCAGCTCCAAGTGCGCAGAAAAGCGGGAGAAACCGCTTTTCGAACTTGCCTGACAACCCCCTGGTCATCTTAAGGGCTGGGGATCTGACTCCTAAATCTGGAGGTCACATACACTCAACGGCATGTCACGGCCTTCACCAAACAATCTGAGACCTCCCCACTCAGCAGGCATGTCTTCCAGGGCGCGGTAGAGTCCCAGGAGGTCCTTGGCTCCGCCCACTATGTACAACGACGGCCATGTACAGTTATATATGACGACGGCCATTGAGTCAAGCGATATCCAGCGCAGTCGAATTCACACCCAGCAGTGCAGTGTCAAACGGTGTTTGTTGGTGTCTTCCAACAAAAATATCCGTCGCTTCAGCCTTGTTGAAATGTCCCAATGTGAGTGGCTATGTTCATGGGAAATCGTGCCATGTCACTTGATTTCAATGGAACTTTGCCAGTCACATGGATGTGACTGCTGGCCGCTCCTTCAGCGGCCCCGTTCGGCCCCTTCGGTGTGGAGGTTTCGCCCAGGATCCACTCCGGAATCAAGGAAAAGGTTGAGATCCATGAAGGGATCACTCAGTGGCTCTGATCCTGCCGTTCGGAACAGCGAGAGGGAAGAGCGTTCGGTTGAAGTGGAAACAAGGGGGAACACATGAGACAATTATATTGATTCTGACTTGTGAGCATTCAACTGATTCCCAAGGATTCTGCAGGATGCTAAGATGAGCCTGAGATCCATTCCGGTGGCTCCAACGTCTCTTCTGCCTCTCCAGCGTTGCTGAAAAGTTACTGCCTCTGGCACCATTGAAACAGCGTATTCTTAGGTCAACTATCTAGGTAGTCTGTTGGACAATATCTTATATAATATATAGGTCAATCAATCATAGGTCAACAGGAGCTGGGCCTCGTCACTTTGCTCTGGACCAAGGCCGGCTTGATCCCGCAGGAACTGCACTGCCTGCAAGCGGTCATCGCAGCGAAACAAACCTTAGAGGTGATCTATTGCGCCTGTCAGTTCGCAGTTGTACTTCATTAAACATCATAATCATTCGACAAATTGACTGTTGCCTCATTCCAACCCCTTTCTGCCGGGTGCGTTTCCAACATGCTGGTCTCCATTTTGCCGAGGAGGCGGAAACCCCGGAGCTCAGCGCCTCCCGCAGCGTGTTCTTGGCGGCGCGCGAGAAGGACCACTGATCGGCACAGGACACATCGTGGCCTTGATGGGGCCAAAAAGGGGACATGGACCAGAGAGTCCTAGTCGGCTAGTCGGTGCGACAGCATGTTTTTGTACAAAGAGATAGAGAGAGAGAGAGAGACCAACAAAATCCTGCCCACAAGGTGTTTGGTTTCATGTTCACAAAAGTGTCCAAGACCTTGCATGCATTTGTGGGTGTTCATTTGGTGTCGTTTTACTTGAGCGGTGGTCAACCTATAGTGAAGAGAAGGAATGAATTTCCGCTCTTCCACGCCCTCCAGGAAACATGGACACTCACAAAACAGGAAATGGAACTTCGATGAGAAACTTCGATGCCAGGTAGATGGTTGAATCAGACCGTGTTTAACTCTTGCGCCGTCTTTAGAAGAACGAAACATGTCTAAGACTTGAGGAAAATGTCAACACATTCCGTGTAACCACCATGAAAACCGGTAAAAAAAGGCCAAACCAAAATGGAAGCCTACAGTGAGCCAACTTAATGCCAATGATTAAGAATCCTCCCTATTGGCAAGATCTTCTTTCCTACAATACTAACGGCCTGTGAAAACCTTGTGGCCCATGTTTGAAAGTGGGTACCCAATAAAGCCACGATTAGTTATATACATAGACCCTTTCTCCTCAAAAATAAAATATCCCTTTAACAAACAAGGTTCATTAATCATGCTGACATCGTATTATTCAGAGGATTTGCATTCATGAATTATGGCCAAGTCAATTTCCCCTTTCTTCTCCATTCCCAAGACACCTTTTGTTCATGCTGGCTCATGCCTTTGGATCCCTCATGCTGGACCCACAAAAAAACAACAAGTAAGTTGATTCCACACCGTTTGATTCCAACACCTTCAGACCTTCTGGTGGGGTATTTTCTCTCGCTTCGACACTGGAAAATGGCTTCAACCACAATGATCTTCCGTTATTCGGCACATGCGATCATGCATGCCTCGATGATTCTATGCTGTCACACCCCGTGACAACTCAGCTGCCGGCAGAACCGTGCAAGACTCAGGGAAGCCGTATGTGATCCTTAGTCTTAGTGGCGAAGGCTGTCGTATCGAAACTTGAGCAACATCGAAACCTAAGGCCTCCCAAACACAAAAAGGTGCGCTTTTCTCTTGCAAAGTTTGGCAGGAGTGCCTTTCTGCCAACAAAAATGTCCCACAGATTGCGCTGAACCAAGACTCTAGCAAGAGGCAAGTATGCCTCCAGTTCCGGCACGCTGCTCAAGCAATCAAAGGCAGGAGGGCTTCCATAACCTTGCAGAACTGGAAAATTCTGGGTGTGGGAGGAAATCCTGCTCATAAACTATCTCAAAAACCCTGTGTGCTTGAAGAATTTGCGTTGGATGTTGAGTCGCAAATACAAGTGGAGCGAACCTGCCAAACCCTCTGTATCCTCGAACCAAGACTCGCAATTGTGCTTTTATCCGCCTGATTGATCTAGCATTCATTTTTTTCGGTGGAATGAGGTAACGAAGGTCACAAATTTAACGAAGGTCATCGAACAGTCCACGTTCTTCAGGAAACAAGGGGCGCATTGAACAGCCTTGGCACTCAAGGCCACCAGACGAATCTCACGCGACCCACCGCACTTCACCAGTGGTTCGCCCAGTGGCTGTCTCCGGTGAGGGCCGTCAGTGAGTCCCCACAGGCTGCCACCACTTCCAGCCAGCGCTCCCCAAGGGCGAAGGTCACGGCTCGCGCGACCACCGTCTGCGGGGTGTCGATCTCAGGAGTGGCTCCAAACACGAAGCCAAAATCCACGCGGAAGAGGGAACCATCCTGAGATCTGCCAGAGCTGGGAGTCTTAGCGTTTCAATCTGGGAAGAGTTCGTGGAAGGCCTGCTCATGAAGAAAGTGGTTCCCAGGCGAGGTTGGAAGGATTGTAAGCATCTCTTCATTCGGTTGCTTGAAGGTTGTTGGATTTATGGTTTGTACAAGTTTCACCCAACAGCATCCCGAACATGTTCCCTTGATTTGCTGATCGCTGGCCTCCCGCAGCATGATGTTATCATCGTGACCATCACGAACTCCCAGTGCATAGCAGGCTGTCAAATAAGCTGTGGTTGAAGCCTGGGCACATCGAACCCAAACAAGCAACCATGTCTTATTCAGTTGGTTCTATCCTATTACCTGTAACAGTGGATGATTCAGTAAAGGCCCTGTCCAGAAAATTGTAATACTTGTTTACTGACTGTTGCAGGTAGTAGGACAAACCCCATATATCAGCACGATTGCCCACATCAAAACGTTCTGTGAGTTTGGGAAACCCGTCAAACCCAGCGAAAGGTTCTAGCATGTTCTATATAACTGTCACCTATCAATCTGCCTGTATCACTGAATACAGTTACAGGAAATCCTCTATTTGGGAGGGAAAATAATTCTCAACGGAGGATGGAAGTGCAAAGTCTGCTTCTTAGCAACCCGAAATGACAAGTTCCAATGACTTCCGTAACAACTGAAAAAGACCATCCAGGACAAAGAAGCTTTCTAATTCTTAGTAGGGCGTTAGGGTCATCAAAATCATCAACCAATACCAAAAACGGTTTCAGTCATCCCAGTGGCAGCCAAGGTGTCAAGCTTCTGTGATTCACCACCCAAAGCTTCATAGACACGTTCCTGTGGTTCGCGGCAGAGCTTTTTCAATTCACGTAGCGTTCGGCATCCTGAGCAAAGCGCACGGCAGTTAGAGAAGTAAGCCACAGTTAGTTAGCTTCTTGTTACTACATGTTACCTACTAGTAAGGCACTTGTTACTACTAGCGTGGCACTTGTTACTACTAGTAACAAGAAGCTAGTGGTAAATCCATTTCACACTAAGCTGTCTTTCAACATCTTTCAACTACTATTGCATATCTGCTCATCTTGCTGACCTCAATCACTTCACAAAATGAAGCAAATGAAGCAGAGCAAACTGCAGCTTGGGATCCAAGTACCGCTTCTATGAGGCCTCCAGAAGATCCAATGGGAAAGATCTGGTAGGTCAAAGCATGCACCGGTTGGCCGCAAACTTCTACAGCATGCTGCTGCCACCGGCGGTTCATCTCCTTCAGGGCCATCATCATCGCATGCTCTTGGCGCACATCCGCAAACTTCACAATGAAGTGAAGGCCCCCGGGATACAGCCGGAGAAGATGGGCACCAGATGCAGTTCCTGACAGCAAGCATCCACAGGTTGTCGATCGGATATCAATGGCCTATATTAATATGTTGGAGTCTTCTCAGCAAGAGGTTTGCTCGTCACGTGCTGGTGACATCAGGTGTTGATGCAAAAAACTCAAAACAAATCTGAGAGTTGCTTGAATGTCCTCATTAACTTATGCAACCAGCCAGGCAATCAATGACCCACAAAATCAGCAAAGTGCTGACACTGCCGACTACAGCAAACCTTGTCGGTGGTCAGCCCAGTTTCCAGTTGGGCCCCAAAGGTCCCAATGCAACGACCACAGAATCGGAGCCTGCTTGATGTGAAAAGGGGGTTGCTAGGTCTTTTGGTCTTCCTTCAGTTGGGTCCTGGTGCAAAAAACACACAAAGGAAAAAAACGGAGCTGAAACAAAAGCTACCAGGTCCCTCAACTGAACCGTCACCCTCCTCATCTCATCCGTCCCAGCATCGAAAGTCGCGCTCCACATAGGCTGAGGTGAAGACCTGGCCTGCCACCTTCAGCTCTTCGGGGAAGTGCACCATTTCCTCGAACGGACCAAACCGTCCGAATCTTCGAACGGAGTTCCCACGATGGAAAAACCAGCGTTCCAAAGGGGCGAGGGGCGTCCCACGAGCGCGCCTGTGGTGCTCGTTTATCGTGCTGCAAAGCATACGTCATGAACCCAATTGAGGGTTTGAAATGTTTGAAATGGTGTGAAGTTGTTTGAAGTGTATTGTGATCGATCATGATGTCTCCTGCATGTTTGCGATGTGTTGCATTTTATTGCAATGCTTTTCGGGATTCCTACTTTGTGGGATTCCCCCGTCTGTGACTATCCGTTCCGCCTGCAGCTAGCTACATGGTAGGTGGGATTAGGTAGGTTCACCTGTCAAAGCCGCCAATGTAAAGGAACCGAAGCAAAAGCGAAAGGATTCACACAGTAGTATTATGTAATATTCAAGGCCGCTACGCCGCTGCATGTTGACATCCGTGTAGACTCACAGGATCTAGCACTCTTGAATCTTAAGTAGCATGGCAGGAAGTTCTGAAAGCCTGGATCCCTCACTCGGCTTGACTATTTGAACATATGTGGGTATCGCTCTGCTTGCAAGATCTTGCAAGGATGTATCTATTCCGACCCACCGAAGCCCGAGGACCAGCCCGTCCGCCGCCGACGACCGCCGACGATCGCCACCGGCCCAGTGGCGCCGACGCGGCGACCCCGAAGCAGCGGTAAGATCCACTCGGATGGCCTGTCCTCGCCTCAGAGCAGAAGAGCCCTCTGAAAAACCGGTGAAACGGGTGAAGCCATGTGAAGCCAAGCCAATCCGAATCCCAAACGCAGCCCACTCATCAGGACGGTTGCATGGAGAGAAGCACAGCACAAACTCTAGTTGAAGAAGACTGAGAAGTCTCGCTCTCCAGGCACAGACTTCACTGCCATGTCTGTAGTATGCAGTATGCAGGTGAAATGTGGGGAATGGCATGAAATCACCTGTGTGTGTGTGTGTGTTGATGTGTTTTACTTCTATCGTTATGTCCATCCATCCAGTACTCTGGAGCGAGGCAACTCCGGTCCAGGACCCAAAGCTGTTGGGGACAAGTCGCCATCAGATTCAGATCTCTGCTCCAGAGGGACGGAGGTCGTGTTCTCCTCCAGCCCTTTGACTTTGGCCTCTGCTTGGGCTGTCTCATCAGCCTTGCACGAGTGAGAGAAATGCTCTGTTTGGGCATTTTTGGGCTAACTGCCATGTGGGCCCATGCTTGTCTCATGCGAGTACTACAGGCCTCTGGCTCGATGCTGACACCATGCATGGAGGCTTCTGATGCCATGTCTGTTTGACCACAAATGGAGGCTTGGACTTGGAGGTGGCTAGTCATGGTAAGGTAGTGCAAGCGTTGAAAACATGTCTGAAGGTGCCTGCCAAAAAGATCCAAAAAGGGGAGGGAAAAAGAACAACTTGATAATGGCCTATACTTAGACATTCACAAGTTGGTTGCCTGGCCTACGGCAAGCTCTAAAAGTGATTAGTTAAAGTCAAAGTGAGTGAAACAATATGATAATATGAGTGCCTTCTTTCGATTGTGTTTCATGAAGCAACTGCATCTGAGTTTCTAGGCTCCGAGATCTATAGAGCTGCAGTGCAGGTCAGAAAGAGAATCTTGGAGTCTAGCTCGGTCGATCACCCAAGCCCACGATGAAACATTTGAGACCGTTCTGGACTCAATCAGCAGCAGCAGCATCTTTCTGATCCCAAAAATTATCCTTTAAATGTTTGTTTTGCATGGTTTTGCTTTTCTTTGACCGCTCAGCAATCTTTTCTCTGACTGGTCTTGCGTCGATCCCCCCCAAGAGCAACAGTCGAATTCACCCCGCAAAGCAGATCCTGGGGCCAGCACATTGCCCCAGTTGACAACAGTCCACTTTCGGGATTGCTTGTCATGTCCTCTGCCTTCCAAAATCATGTTTATATACGGGCTTTCTTTTGGAGGATTGGCGCATTTTCATGGCTGTCCCTGTGGCCCTGTGGGCTGCTAGGATCTGCAAGCTGTCACGACGATGCTTCAGCCGTCATCATGGCAGTGATCTTCGTCTGACCCTGGGACCTTCATTGGGTCCTAACTTGTTTCTGGTCACTTCTGCGATTCAGCCAGGCTTCCAGTCCATGTCTTGCATCCCCAAGCTCATTGACCCTGCCTCAACTCGCACCCCTAATATATGAATAGGAATTACATCATTTTTGGAAAAGGTATCTTCGATACAATATCGATCTTGTCAGTTCATAATAGTTCTTATCATTTCTTTTCTATGTGTGTGTGGTCGAACCACGCCTAACCACGCCTTACCACGCCCATCCTTTCAATTGCCGCGATTCACTCACCAACCAATTATATGCGTTTATCAATTTCCTACAGTCCTACAGGATCCTACAGGGAGTTTGCGCGCAGGTGCAAGGATACTTCCGCCAATTGTACCTGGCTGTCGCCCCGAGCTTGACACCAGGTGCCTCACGATGAGACCGGCCCCATCTGACCACATATGGATAGTGTGGCAAAGGTCAGCTGTGACAACTCGCTCCTAGTCTCGCACTGATCATGGGTGACCAAAGGTAGACCTGATGATGTTTTACACACAGTACAGCAACTCACTTGCATATACTTGCATATGGTTCCCTCATCTTCCTTCCTTCCTTCCTTCCCTCGCTCTCTCTCTCTCTCTCTTCCACAACAGCGCTCCTCCTGAGGGCAGACAAGCGGGGCACCTGCAGGACTCGCTCCGTGTCCGATGGATCAGCCCATATGATTCGATCCACAAGGCTGGCTGACTCCCCAACGAGACTTGCGGCCCTTCCCTTTGAGGTAATTACTGATGTTGCAACCGGGGAGTGTTGCTTCGTACGAGCAAGGGGGGTGTATGAAACGTGCATGCCCTATCGATCAATCTCAATCGATGCACAAGAGACGAGAAAGAAACCCTAATTGACTCCCCAACGATGCCTGCACAACCACGTGCGGTGCCACCAACAAGGCCCTTTAGTTTCTGGTTAAGTGTCCAGCAAGGAAACAAAAGAATGCACAATGGACGACTATATAATGGACTAGAAAAACAAAGTCTCTTACATTCTCTTACCATGCTTTGGGGGTTTGACAAGTTCTGGCCCATCCCGCCCTTTTCATGTTGTAAAATCATGGAACATCCCGTCCGTGCAGGCCTTCATGCTCCACCCTCGCAGCTGACCACAATGGATTGACATAGCCCAGTGGCCTTGGCGGGGGTGAGCTTACAGGTAAGATGGGATTGTACCATCCGCTCGAAATCATGACATCAGAGCCCTCGGCCTAAAATGTTCACAAAACCAAACAAAAACAGTCAATCCTTGGGCTCCAAACCCAGGGCGCGCTGCAAGAGACGTTTCGTTGAAAAGGCCTGTTCCAGCTCGTGCCGCCTGGGCGTTCGCTGCGGAAGACGCAGGTGGCTCTGCGTCCGAAATGATGGCAGGACGGTCCCACAACGGCGTCCCTCAACGTCAATGTTTGTTTTGTTCGGTGCAATGCCACAATAGTGTCTTTTGGGGGGGCCAGAACTCTCACGAAAAAAAAAAGAAAAAAGAATATCCTCTCATGCCATGCTCTCCCGGATCAGATCGATCCGAACACCACCCTCCATCAAATCCCTCGCTCCCTCGCTGGGCTCTCCAGGCTGAGAACGCTGACGAGCCGCGGCGCAGCGCCACCTGCAACGCACGTGTGATGATCAGTGGAGTCACGAGTACAAAAAACGCAAGTTCAGTTCGGGTCCTCTTCAGCATGTCTCCATGTTCGAAGAGAAAAGGTACTGGTGACAATGAACATTGTTATGGCATGTTATGGCGCACTTTTGTTGTTGAGCTCTCCCACCAACTTTGCCCCCCCGTGCTTCCAAATCAAAAGAGGTACCCGACCGTAGCATCCACTCGGACAAGCAAGACCTTCTCGCAGCTTCTCGCCTAGAGTCGGTGGCGGCTGCACCCCTTGGATCTAGTTACCTGTGGCTATGGTGGCTATGGAGTACCCAAAGCCTCTGGTGGCTATGGCTATGATTGCCGAACACCTGCGTGTGGCTGTATGGGGTCGAACTTGGGACGGGAGCATGAGTCATGTTGCCTGGAGGTCCCGCTTTCGCGTCCCCTCCCGGTGGATCTGGACTTGGGACGGGAGCCAAATCGACTGGGAGTGCCATGCGTGCTGATTTTGGGCTTCAGCATCACAGTAGCCATCTTCATTGTACTAAAGTTATTAACAAAGTGCGATGGCGATACCTTTTTGGGATACATATATATATGTGTGTGTGTGTGTTTGCGCTTCGGACTCAACTCAAATATCAGATCTTGAACTGCTCTCATGGGACTGCAGGAAAAGCTTGCTGCAGGTGAGCAAGATTTTGCACCGCCTTAGAACCAAAGTAACTATCTATAGAACGATCCTCTCATGTTGATACTATACTCTTGTGCAGGAATGTGCAGTATTTAATCCATCAACAATAGTGCCACGACCGTTGCTTCCCCCACCCGGACCCGGCATCAAGCATTTCTTCTTGGACACTCAGGACGATGGATGGGTTTTCCAAGAGATTCAACACTGAGCCCTAAACCCTAAACAAAAGATCGCGAGTATATAGCTCCAAAACGGAACTGCTGTGAACTACGGCTGGGGTTTGGGCCAACTCTGCAAGAAGATCGTGCCCAGCTGGAATCTCGTCCGACCTGGTTGGATAGGACTGTGATCGCAGGCCTACAACAAAAGCCTGCAAAAATCGATACCAATTGGTCCAGAATCGTGACTCTGCGACACGCAACCATTCTGCATATGGTCGCGTGCGGCAGGAGGTCAGCTGCCCCAAAGTCAAGGAGCCTTCGGGCCTTCTTAGACTTGTGTGTGGGAAGGTGCCAGAAGGCAAGAGTAGTATGAGTAGAACATAGGTAGAATGGTTGGTAGAAACATATGCTATGCACTGCAAAAAACACTGTCAGTTAACCTGCAAAACACAAAGTGCTATTCACTAGAGTCCACAAAAGCAACCCCCAGCCTCTGACTGCTGCCAACCGCTGGCCTTAAGATCTATGGTCGAATCGAGTCATAAGCCATCACATACACGCAGGGATCTGAGTGGATGACCCTTTTCCAGAGATGACTCTGACTGAAATGCGCTGTCCACGCAGTCCGAATCGACGTCGGAATCGTCGGAATCGTCTTGTCTCGGTCGGAGAAATGGACATCGACCCTGGTTGGTCCCCTCACCATGCCTCACCGGAAAGGTAGCTTGGACGTTCGCCTCTCCGTGCAACAACCACTGAGGCCCCGCTCTAGCTCAACAAGCAGGCGGCACTGATTTCTCGCATCTCATGACATCGATGACTTGGAACAAAACAGCAACTGGAACTGATCCGAAGTGGTCTCTGCTTTGTATCATGGACAAAAATAGAGATGTGAAAAAAGAAACAAATAACGCATCAAACACATTCAAACATCCATCTGTTCCATCTCTTTTGGGGTGCAACCAATAGGGTTCCGGGTCCAACCAACCGGGCGACTTCGCTGAAACTGCCGACATGGATTGGGCTCCCGGGCTCTGAAGTTCCACCTCGGAGGTTCGATGAACAAAAGATAGCAAAACGTAGCTCATTCGCTTCATCCCTTGTGTCATCCTCCTTGTTCCTGGAATAATTTCCAGATGTTCCCGTTAATCACCTACTCAGAGGTTCAAAGAGGCTTGCTTAGGAATTCACGGGACTGGCGTCAACATACAAGCGCTGGCAAGTCCAGCAGCAAGGAGATTCGATTTCAAATGAAATGGATGAACATCTGATCGGTTTCGCGTACAGAATAGCTAACTAGGAAAATCAACGTGTATAAGTATGCATCAAAGAGATACCGATCGGTCACAGTCAGCCTGCGAATACCTGAGCAGCACTTCTTGTCGCCATACCTGGTCATGTTGGATAAGATTCTTGCAAGATAATTCCAAGTATAGCTGGAACTAGGACCAAGAAAATAAGGACAGTGTCCGGTCGATTCAGCAGATTCTCGCAGACAGTCGGAGTGCCGATCTAGATGAAGCAATTGCTATACTACGAGCAATAGCAATGTCAAAGCTCTTTGTTGCTTCATAGTGAAAACTGATGGCCGAATCTCATCCATTAGCGACCCTCTGCTCACCTTCCATACATTCGCAATCGCTCGAAGCTCACAAGCACGCTGCAGCTTCTTGCATCTGCTATGCTGGAGCCACCTGAGTCTTGCGCATTGAAATTGCTTTAAGCAATTAGGTACCAACCCACAACGCTAGATAGGGCAACTATACATGCCCACCGAATAAGTATAATATTATGATATGTTTGGAACCAGTTGTGAGATGTTGTGCGTGATTTCAAGTGTGTGCATGGGTCTATGAGCGACAGTGCATGTTTCCAATACGTCAAAAATACGGGCTTTCTTGCGAGTGCAATCGATCATTGAGCGATCTGAAAAACAACCAAAGTCCCACCATGTCCCACCCACCATCCGTGCGCCTGACCACTGCACTCGACCTGAGTGAACACCATTCCGCCAGGAAACTCAAAGCAAGGAGTACCGCAAGGTGCAATAGACATCAATAGGCTGGGTACTGTACATAGATTCATTCAAGTAGCCTGTACAAGTGCTCTGGTGGATGAACAACATACGCAGGTTTTGATGGACACACCGACTGTTACATTCCTACGATAGTGTTGGTTGCTTCAAGAAACACCCATGAGGTGATCATCACCGCACCAATAGATTTTGGGATGAGTGTAGAGAAACCTTGCCTCAATTCAGCGCAAAAAATGGATGAACGCACCACCCACACCGGCAGAGCAGCAATGAGACGTCAAGTTCTTGAACTTGTTGTGTCACATTGTGTGCCTCTTGATCTTGGGGGTGATAGATTCAAAAGCGTTCAAAAATGTTCAAAACCTTTGCAACGTCACATCTCCATGGCCCCATGCCACCCCGGTACAGTACCTGTGGGGCCCTAACAAGCGAACATGAAGAGCTCGAGCAAGCTGCTCCAGAAAGTCTAAACGCAGCAGCTCGCGACCTCGAGTTCCACTGGCCAACTGTCCCCCTACAAATCCAAAGTCATCAAAGAAATAGCCAGCCATCCCCTAGATTGGTTCCAGTAGAACTATGTAGAACTCAGAATTTTGGCCGAGCCGCGCTGCTGCTGAATCGCACGCCAGAAGCGGTCGAACGCCGCGCGAAGGGGCCAAGACTGTGCGGCCTTTCACAGAAGTCACAAGGATTCAATGATTGGTGGCTGTGGATGCTGTTTGAAACAAAATGGTTGTCTGATGGGCAAAGGCTTCAGATGTTAAAGGGGTTCATTTTGAGGGATATGTGGGATCAAGAAAACGTAGTCTATCTATTCGGGATGTCCAGGAAATGTCTAGAGGGATCTGAGAAGAAACAGTTCAGGACCTGCCGGTAGCATCTTGATGTTCGCATCTGCAATGAACCTTCGGAGGTTACTTGATAATGAGATTTTCATGAAGGTGCTCCTTGCAAGGAGAACCTGAGGATGACTCTTGGAAAACATGTTCTCGTCTCGTCAAACCCTCTTATATAGTTGAGATATGTTGAGACCTTATTCAAAACGCTCGAGTTTGGCGACTGCAGCTAGCAGGCAGCTGCCGATGATGAATTAAATTGAATTATATAATGCATAAACTTTCTTAAATGTGCAACCACCCTACCCTGAACTGTTTTTGCGAAACTCAATCAGCAAAGATGAAAACCATGGAAAATCCTTCTCCAAACCTCAGGTTCTCCCGAGCCTGCAAGGCCTTGGCACACCGGCGACGGTGAGCCACTTGAATCTGGCAGTAGGACCTTTCGAAGCAAATGGGGATAGGATGGAAAGGCTGGGCTGCAGCTCGATGCTCAGCCAGTGCAAGCGACGTTTGTCGTCAGAACACGTCAGAACGAGCAAAGACTGGATTACGAAAGGTCTACCAGGAAAGCTCTCTTTGCTGGCTTCTGAGAGTGTTCCGGACGGGGTTCAACCCTGTGCAAGGAACGTGATATGTTTTTAATGATAGTTTTAATCCGTTTATAGAAGGTTATAATGAAGATATAGAAATGTGTCTTTCATTGTCACGAGAAAGGGCCGAAAGCCAGTCATCCGAAAGAACACTTTCTGCACCGAACCGTCGCTGACACCTCCAACCGCCCAGGACGTGAGCCACCAATCGCCCGGCCAGTTCCGCTGACATGACCTCGGAGGAGGACGGATGACTGGAATTCTTGAAACGGATGGAGAGGGCTCCAGGATGGAGACCTGGTGTGCTGGAAATGTTTGAAACAGCCCAAGCGCGGCTGCTCAGCTCAATTGTCTCAGAAATCATGAATTCGACTGTAGACTCTGTAGACCTTTCGATCTGCTCAGTTTTGTCCAGCCTGATCATAGTGATCTGCAGGGCAGGGGCCCGGGGCTCCCACCAAACTCTTTTCGCAGCACTGGGCGAAACGATGCATTGCTGCAATCTGGGCCATCCTGATCACTGTCCCGTGGTTGGGCCTTTATAGGGGG